ACACTGTGTGACAATGCAATTCTGGATTCCAGGAGCCGGCCCGTCCTTTCCAAGGCACGGCAGCCCTGGGCTCATGCACACTGTTGTGTGACAATGCAATTCTGGATTCCAGGAGCCAGCCCCATCCTTCCCGAGGAACGGCTCCCCTCGGCTCCCCTCGGCTCATGGATTGTGTGACAATGCAATTCTGGACTCCAGGAGCCGGCCCGTCCTTCCCCAGGCACGGCAGCCCCGGGCTCCCCTGGGCTCACGGAGTTTGTGTGACAATGCAGTTCCCGCTCTGAGTCACCCCGCTCAACCAGCGCTTCCTGTTCACACTCCCCTACGCTCGGCTCGCCTAAAATAAAACACTCACACGGCCTCCGATTTGTATTTTTGTTTTTTAAACTGCTGCAAGAGATGCAATAGGAAAGACTGAAAGAAAAAGAAAACCACAGAGGTCTTTGCTGTGCACGTAGTTAATATTACAGGTGCTTCTGAAATGCAGTAAACACTTCACGTGTTACTTTAAAAAATGTATTGGTGCTCTGTATTATAAACTAGATTACTAATTATCATGATTTCCTCCACCTCCATTAACTGTAAACAGAATATAAAATGCTTATTTCTTCAAAGTTCTTTAGCACAATGAGCATATCATCATATTGGTGATTGGGTAGAAGAGAGCAATGGTTTGAGTATCAAAACTGCACCGTAACAAAAAAATATTGCACTCATCCATGATTTACTGCCAGACACTGGATAGCTGGGGAGCAGTAAAGTAACAAGGTCATTTCCCTAAATTAAGGGATCATAATTTCTTAACGAGCAGCTCTAGACTGTTGTGAGATGGAATTCAAAAGAGAAGGCAGAACAGCTGTACACATCACAGCCATTGATGCATCTGACACATCAAAGTTGACATGGTTCAGTCACTGTCATCCATGCATGAGATTCCAGTATGAACCTAAAAACAACGATGCAACAACTGTACAGACACACTGCTGTGCTGGACTCGAGTTACAAATGCAGACAGGAGCACTGACACCCCTGCTTTGAAGGATGTATGATCTCAAATGCACAGAAGATCATTTGCACACAATTTCCAGATTTTTGCATGCCATCAGCCAGATGACAAAAGCCTCCCCAGAATTTAACACTCCAACTCACAGATGGGACTTGCAAGTAAGGGAGAGAACTGAGTTAATCAAAAGGATTTGTCCTTCAGGGTTTTTGGATGAGCCAACTCATCATAAATATTAAAAAAGAAAAAATAATAGCAAGTAACAGAACAGAAAGAACAACCCAACTAACTGCACAGGGAATCTCCACATTCCAAGTTAGGAAAAACCAAAACAATAAAGATTTTTAGCATCCTCATAAAATCCTTGATGAGAAACTGAAGTTCAGCAATTGATTTTAAGAGGGAAGCTTAAATAAAAGGCATGTTTATGAATAATAAACACTCTGTCATGCTGCTAATTACTCTCTGCATCAGTAAATCTCAAATTGTGGTGCATGGACCCCAATTTAGATTCACTGAAGACTTCTGGTGATCCATGGAAAAGCTGGCAGTCACCATGAGACTGGCTCCACCTCTTTGCTGCAAGCTACTTCGACAGGTGCCCATGTTCTTCATTATTACAAAGGACTGGAAGCCCTTGAAAGCAGCTGGGAGTTTAAAAAAAAACCAAAACAACAAAAACCAAACAAAACCCAAGAGCATGCTGCCACCACTATGAAAGCAGGGAGCACAAAAGCACTGATCAGCAAAGACATCAGCTCACAGCAGGAATATTCCTCCTCCACACTGGTTTCCCATCTTTGTTACTTGTGCACAGTTCAATTCAAGGCAGGTCTGCAATGCTCAAGTCTCCCAACTCAGGGGAAAGCTGTGGCAACAATCCATAACCTGCTGGCAGCCCAAGGCTCACTTCTCTGTGTGCTCTGAGCAGGATGGAAACGCAAATGCCACGGGAAGCAAAGCCCCACTCACTGCAGGGAAGCAGCCCTTGTACAAGGCACCCCACCTTGGCTCGGGCTTCCTGCCCTAGGAGTCCGGGAGTTTGCTCCCACACAGCTCAGAACATGCCCAGAGCAACGAGTGTGCACGCATCCCCTACAACCTGCCCTCACTTCTCATCCACCCCAACTCACCCCCAGCCCTAACACCACCTCTGTGCACAACTCAGAGGGCTTCCAGGAACACACCTGCAAACATGCGTTTGAATTTTGCACTTGAAAAGGAAAAAGTAAAATCTCCACAAAAAAAATTACCCAAAACTGTTTGGGAACTGAGATCCCCTGCCTGGATTTATTTCCTCTGCAACTGGAATGCTCAAATCAACACTGAGAAATATCCTGTGCTTTTATAGTCATAAAACAGTCAGCACTTTTAATGCATGCCATGCTAAATAATGCAGAAACAGCTTGGTCTGTCCTGTTTCTGAAAGCATGTCACCTTTGACTGCCCTCAAACAGTAAAAGAATCGGACAATACTTCTACTTCTCAAGTGAAATCCTACTGATAACCTTTCAAATAGGAAAACACATAGCAAGCTGCAAAAAAGATAATCTATCATGAAATATTTGAAGTGATTAAAAGGGCTTTTTTAAAAATTATGTATCTGATACAAGAAACAAGCACTGTTCCAGTAAAACGTACATACTCTGTCAAGTGGAAGAAACTACGCCGCCAAAAAATCATCATGTATCATTATGCTAAAGATGTGTTCCAGATCATGATGAATAAAGGAGTCTCAGGATGTGTAATTATATAACAGCAGTTAGTGCATGAGCACATCATGGCACAGGAATTATTCTGTACTCCTACTGCTACCACGGAAGGCGTGAAAGAAGGCAATTTAACACAACAGCCAACGTAAACACACCTCTGGTGCAAGATACTCTGGAGTGCCACAGAAAGTCTTCATTGTTGCTCCATCCTTGATGCCTTCTTTACATAGTCCAAAGTCTGTTATTTTTATGTGTCCATCTTTATCCAGCATAAGATTTTCCAACTGTGAAGAAGAGCCAAATTAAAAGACATGATTACCTGTAACATACACTAATCCTGAGCAGGATAATCAAAGACATGAATTTTGCAGATCAGTTTTGAACCTCATCCTCACTGGGATCATAGCCAGAGCATGTAAAATGTAAATATACATTGGTAACATTTTGCTCAGTTCTTTAGGGAACATGAAGTAACTAATCTGTAGTCTTGGGGTAACCAAACATATAGACAGAAAGAATGCAGAACATGAACATTGCATTTATGCTTCTACAGTATCATCATCAGTAGAACACCAGTTCTTTAGAAAGTATATTAAGTATTCCCCCTCACACAACTTCATCTCTGCTTTTACTATGATTTTGTTAAATAATCTGTACCAGTAAGTAATAGCATAAAATAAATAAAACAGAAATCATATGCAAGGTTAAGGAACCACTTCCAAAGAGATTCTTTAAATGAGAATCAGTATATACATTTACTCAGCACATGGCATTCATCCCACCTGAGCCTCTAATTTTTGAGAAAGTCACCCAGGTATTAGGACAGTTTCCTCAGTGTATCAAGAAAGTGCATTACAGGGGAATCACAGTGATATGGAGACAGAGATCCCAAAATTACTCTGACATAGTCTGAGAACATTACAGAGCATGCTTCCTTTATACTGCCCCTAAATGAACTATCAGGATCCCTTCATCCTGTCCTAAAAACTCTGCTTAGGAAGAAAGAAAATGCTATTGTTGCATTTTCCTCAAGAATTTCTCAAGTCTGTTTGCCCTGAGATACCTTGGTGGTTGGGGTTTCTTTTCCCCTTCTGTGCTCCCCAAACAAATGAGAAACTTGAAGCATAGGCAGTTTTCTAACTGCAAGCAGCTACTATGAAGATGATGTGAGCACACTGCAAGGAAGCACAACATCCATGCAGTGTGAACTTCCATCTCTCTGCTAAGACCAGGATTATGTTCCACCGTGCAGAAGCACCAGCAAAGTTTCTCTCAGAACATAAGCAGGCAAGTGAAAATGAAACCCCTGTAGCCCAGTAACCCTTGATGTTCTCTGAAATGCTGCCAGAGTCACAATAAATGCCTTATGCAGCTTCTTGGACTATCAAAGGCTTTAGACATCCTGTAAAGTCCAGCCCAACAGCTGCAACAACAGTTTGGATAAAGTTCAGTCAGGAAAGGATTTCTTAATAGTTCAGGATCATTTTTGCTTTTTTTAACAACAAACAAAAAGCCAAACCCCAAAAGCCTGAAAATGATTTTTCTACGTACCTTCAAATCTCTATAAACCACATTCTTCTCTGAATGCAGGTAATCCAGCGCTGAAACAATCTCAGCCCCATAAAACCGAGCGCGGTCTTCAGAGAAGACACGCTCTCTTGACAGATGGAAAAACAACTACAAGAACAGTAATTTGTTAACTTTAAATGTGTCTGAATTATGCCTTGCAGTTCACAAGCCATCCTGCTTGGAAGATGCTATTAACTAAGAGAAAACCCCTTCCCACCCTCACCCAGCTGAGTTCCCAAATGTGTTAAAAAGCATCATAAATTAAATTATTAGATAATTATGTCTCATATTCACAGACACACACTGAAAACCAGTACATGTACTACAGTCTTACAGGGTCAGAAAATTATAAAACTATTTTTGACTGAACTACAAATACATGTTAAAACTAAAGCCCAATGCATGATTTAAGAGAAATGTTAATATTCCAACTTTTCCTTCCTGACTCTAATAGCAGTCAGCAGCTGCTAGTTCTCCCTCCAAGTATACTCACAATATTAAGTGTTAAAACTTGGCTGACAGCTAGAGCAACTAGAAAGCAACCTTGCCTTCTTGAAATTCTGAATGTCAGATTACAATATACAGCTGTCATGTAAAATATGAACCTATGCCCAAAACCTCTATGTTCTAAAAATGGAGTTGAAAAAATTAAGTCTTATTTCTTCATATTAGTTAAACCTGTGAACAGCTCTGTTTAATTGGGACAACTTGGATTAATTAGAATTGCAAAAATGGACCTTAGCTAAATAATGTCAAGCAAAATTAGCAGTAGAACAAGAAAATCCTAAAGTATTAAACATTATTGTATTTCCCTTACCTCCCCTCCATTAGCATACTCCATAACAAAACACAAGCGATCGTGTGTCTGAAAGGAATACTTTAAAGCCTGAAACAGATTTAAACCAAAACTTAGAAGACAGATCATAGTGACAATTAGAAAAGCATTTTTAATAGATTTTCAGAAGCAGATGTGAAATTTTCTATTTTAGTGAACATTTTGTCCTTAAATCTTATATAATACTTTTATTTTCCTGCTGCAGCTGAGGAAACTGCCAACTTATTTCGCTAAAAAAATTTAATAAAACATTAAACAAATTCCTTGCAGAAGTTATCATCACCTAAAATGCTGCAAAACAAAGTTCTGGCCCATTAACAGGGACTCAAAGTGTTCCAACAGTGACTGAAGTTTCCTCCTCTGGCCACAGGTTCAACTGTCAGAACAGAGGCCACAACCAAACCCTGGAGCACGAGGTTTCACCACACTGGCTACAAGACCTCTTATATGAAGCACACATATTTTCACACACCAGCCCCCTGGCCCCTGCCCTGCTGCTGCTGACAGCCTGCCAGGGGATTGGCCAACACTGGCAATACCAATTTGTGGGCAATGCACAGAAACAGACAGAGGGAGGCTGTGATGGAGAGTCACAAGGTGCCCGTGTATAGTCCTGTCACAGGGATTCCTGGAGTAACATCAACTTGTTTGCCATAGTATTAAGGTTTTTCAACACAGAATGTGCTGAGCTGGAAGGGGCCCAAAAGGATCATCAAGCCCAACTCTCGGCCCTGCACAGGACCACATGAAGAATCCCACAAGGGACCTCGGAGTGTTGTCCAAATTTTTCTTGGACTCTGTCAAGCTGGTGCTGTGACCACTTCCCTGGGGAGCCTATTCCAGGGTCCAGCTACTCTCTGGGTAAGAACCTTTTGCTAGCACTCAAGCTAAACCCAGTCTTGTAGCTAATCTCTCAAGCCCTTGTTCTGGATACTTCGGTTTATAAAAGCATTGAAAAGAAAATACTGAATACGATATTGTGGTCTTCATTACAAAGGGTGGCACTTCTAAACCAGTCATATTTTTTCTGGAAAAATGAAGAACCAGGTTTTAGACATGTCAACACTATTGAGTTTACTCAATACAAGCAATATTTACTTCCAGAGGTCATGCTTAAAAGGTCTGAGTTCCAGCTAAGCCCTTGTACCTGGCCAAATGAAACAACCAGGATCCTACACAGTCTCTTAGAGCCTTTAAGCAGTTGTAAAAAATTCAGAGACAACTTGTAGTAGATATTACAAACAAAATCTTGAGATGGAACTTAGATAACTGAACTCAGCCCAGAGAGACTGCTGGCAATGGAGGTCTAAAATGAGAGTATGGATTGACTTTACAATTTCAAAAAGAAAGCAGCAGATAAAGCACAGTCCTGCTCTTCTCGTTCCCATTCCACATGCTCCTACCACTATCCTTTGGCTGGCATTACCAGTGCTCTGATGCCACTGGTGAGCTGTATCTGGGAGCTTAAAAAAAACCAACAAAGACAAAATCAAAGTTTTTTTCTGCCCAGTATATCTTCCTGAATTTGTTTGTCACAAAAGCAGAGTCACCCTGACCTCTGCCACAAAGGGGAGACCAAACATTTGAAGGGCAAGGAAAGTAGATACTCCTCTTGAGACAGCAATTAAATGGGTGAGCCCTAATGTCAAACCACAGCCTGAAACACTGTCTTCAAGAGGTGCTGAGGACCTGCCCTGCAAGAATCAGAAAACTTGAAAAAGTATTTTCATTTATGCACCCCTAAAATGGAAGGCTACAAAAGTACTCAGCCACTCTGTAAACATAGACCTCAGATGCATTAAGAGACAAAAAATAAGGAAAGCCTTGGTGGTGGGGATATCAAGTTACACTGTGCAGAGGCAGAAATGCTTACTGTTAGGAAGGGGTGCCGGGAGTTCTGTAAAACCCGGTTTTCTGTCAGCGTGTGCGCTACTTCATCCTGAAACGCAAGCAGAAGGAAATCAGCAAAGTGATTCCCCAGATCAGGGGTCCATTTCAAACACTAACAGAGCAATTATTTACAACTACTGAGAATCCTTCCCATGACTTTGACACAGGCTGTATCAAGGGTAAACCACATCCCAAAGTTTCCCATTTACTCACCTTTGCTACAATAACTTCCTTCTTCAGAATTTTCATAGCGTAATACCGTCCAGTTGCTTTTTCTTTAACTAAAATGACCTTTCCAAAAGTGCCTTTTCCCAGTAGCTTAAGGTATTCAAACTCATTCATGGTCTGTTAACGACACAGATAAAGAAGAAATGAATTACATGATCTAACAAGAAGTGTATTATTCTCAGACCAGAATTTCTCATTCACGTGAGAATGCATCGCATATGTCGCACATGTGGGATTTTTCATCCTTTTGTTTAGTAGAATTCAGGAGCAGAAATGATTCTTCCACAAAAATGAATGCCAGTGCACTCCCAAAGATAATCAATCAAACTATCTACAGAAAACCATAAGCTTTCAATTAACTGAACGCTCTGTTGCATGACTCAACACTGAACTGTACAAGTAACACTGAACATATTAATCCATAGCCATTCTGACCTCCTAGCCAGTGCAGACATTCATTAAAAGGCACATGCTGCTCTAATTCTGGGGATTAAACCCACACCTTTTCTCTGATGTTCCCCACCTCTCTACGAGATCAGTTTTCTGGTGCTTCATTGAGCAGTACCAAAAACCAGAGACAAAATTACACCCTGTAAGGTCTCTATCTACTTGCTCAATGGGACTTTTGAAAGGGCTTTCCAGTGGTTCATGCACTCTGAGTTGAACATATGGGGGAAATCCCAACCAGATATTCTCATGAGGTCAAAAACAGCACAAAACCCTTACTGGCAAACTTTAGAAAATCAGGCAACTTTGGCTAAAGGTTTACTGCAATATCCAATCAACATAAAACATTTCTCACAGCATTAACTTGGACCATTCACCTTAGCAAACTTTAAATCCATTCGATGGTAAGTTACTCAAAATATGCCAACAAGAGGGAATGAGGAGAAAACGACAAGGAAAATCTAGAAAAGCACAGATACAGCTACCAACTCCTGGGTATCAGCTGTGTTCAGACAGAAACTCCAAGAACAGGCAGGGTCCAGACAAGGTGATGGCCTCGTGTTGGACCCTAAATATCCCTCGGCCTTCACTGGCCCTTCCCCCAGGTGGGACTCGTGTTCATTTGGCCTCTCAGGAGCAGGGTTAGGGAGAGTGGAGCACTGCCTCTGGTGTGTCAGTGACTGGCAGCCCTGCCAGGCTGGGATACAGGCTTAAGGGAGGGTGGGGCACTTCACTGTCTCCCCAGAGCAAGGCCTGACCCCACACGCATGCACCCCAAAATATCTTGAGACATCTTTCCAGTCTCTGACAACCATCCCATGCCTCGAGACAGGACCACAGTAATGGTACCTTTCCTCTTGTGGTCTGATCTAGCAGACAGAGCAGAAAGGAGAGAAGAGAGAAGCACACGAAAACTCATATAATGGGTAATTGCTAGTTGGGCTTTGCCAATAACCAAAACATAAGTCTAGTTAATATCCTCCTATGCAGTGCTCTCCACTCCCTCCTCACTGCAGGTGAGGTGAGATGCAAATCAGGATCCAGGGGAAGAGTTCATGAACCATTCTTTCAGCTGCAGTGCCTGAAGAGTCCAGCAGTTTGGTCGGTGATTTCCTGTGTGTTTCTTGAGACAGCACTCCTTTTCTGGGAGGTTTTATATGATTTTATACAATTATTTTTGGCACTTGCTGGACCTGTAAACTGGGTTCCAAAATAGCTTGGTAAGTTCAATTTAGGATTCTCTATGACTTATTGATAGTGCAATACATTGCCCTCCTTGTCAAACTCTGTAAGGATCAATAGTTAGGTTGTTTTGCCTTTTGGAGCCCATTATCTTATAGGTCCAGGTATCAGCACCACCTGAACAAATATACACATCCCAAATTGCCACTGTTATCCCTCCCACCAAACAAGTTTCAGGGGGATTACCAGAACCTGTACCCAGGGAAAGAGGAAGAGGGAAACAATATTCAGTAAAATTCTACTAATTGCCTGAATCGCCTCAGGGGTGGGGTCCAATACACACCAATATTCAGTCAGTCATTCCAACTTCCTCAGCACATTGTTTTAGTCAAGTTCCTGAGTTTGGACCAGATACTTTCCAACTTTACCAGACTCTTCAGCAGTTCTCAAACCCCAAATCTTTTTTCTCTTAATCACTTATGCCTTCTTCATCTACAGCTGGAACTTCCCAGCTCCACTGGGAAGCCCCTTTTCTCCTTCATTCCAGGGCCACCGACAGTTCAACATTCCCTGCTTCGGTACAATCATGCCTCACACATTGTTTACCATTACTACACACACTTTCCTCAATACAGTAATTTTATACTCTGCACTGAAAAAGACAGGAAGAGGTACATAAACTTGTTTCCATCATCATATGAAATCCTATGTGTGAGCCCCCAAAACTAAACAGGAGGGAGGAATCTTTCACTCACTCTGGCAACAAGAGGGAAAATATGAACATCTCAAATTATTGCAGCAACAAACTTATACAAACATATATGAACATAAATATCTTAAAACCCTTCAAGATAAAAACATGTAAACGCTTGATGCAGCAAAGAACAGCAACTCCTCTGTCCTATCATCACTTCATCCTCTCATGGAACACTTCTAGAAGGAGAAAACTTGGTCCCACTCCAACCTACTTCAAAAAGAGGAAGCATCTACTTGGCAATCTTTTGTGTTCTCTGCTATAGAAAGTTTAATTGAATAATTAACAGACTGTGAAAATAACCTTAGAACATATAAAAAATGCAACCATCACCAATGAAATTTAAGTTATCTAGTACCTTAACAACACTGATGAGCATTCTGAGCCATGAAGACCAACTTGAATTAGAGTAGCCAGCCAAACTTTTGAGGCCTTTTCACTTTAGACAAAACAGTTTTCATTGGATCTACATATTCTGTTACATCCAATTTTGCACATTTGGACTCCAATCCAAAAGTCAACCAATAACATATATTTGTTCTATGTGTGTGACGTTAGAGTGGTCCTTAGGGAAAAGGACACCATTCTCTTTTCTTTCTTGCTCACTACCTTGAAACCATACTTGCTACTACAATTGTTAGGAACTATGTCCTGCTAGGATGGTCAACTAAACCAGGAGCTAACAATAGTGCTGGCATACTGGGGACACTGTTCTGAAAATAAAGATGATAAACCATTTAATGTATTTCATTTTAGATTTCAGATTTCACTGCAGCTTTCTCTCCAATGGATTTGCTTTTTACTATATTATTCAATACAGTCCCTCTGTTCTCCTCTTTGTCCAGAGCTGACTTTAATCACATAATTTAGATGTCTCCAGCTGCAGATCTCACAGCTGCGTGTACAGTTAGAGTCCTTTCCACTTCTGCTTAAGAAGCTCTTCATTCCACTTCCAGACATACATCCAGGCTTCTGTCTGGTCAGGATGTACTTGAACATGCAGAGTTATTACCAAGACTAGAACAACAAATTTGTACAATGACAAAAGTATTTTTCCCCCAGAGGTTACGGATTCTGCAGTCCCACCTCTGGTGGTGGGAAGGCTCAACACCCCCTTGCTGCCAGGAGGAGGCAGGGCAGGAGGAGCTTGCAAAGCTTCATTGCAAATACAAGGAAACTGAATTCAACGCCCTCTCCCACTATTTGGAGCTGGCACAGAGAGCTTTTTGTCTTGGGCTTGATCCTTAAATTTTGCAATAAATAACAATAACACTGGAGAAGTCCAACAGGGCACTGGCTGTTTCCCATGCACTGGTTGGAAGCCCACTGCCTGCCATGCTCTTCCAGCAATTTACCACACGTTGGAGTGGGGAGAGGGATGACTTCCTCCCCCTCCAACAAATTAATATACACTCCAACAGGTTTAAACTTTTCGCACAACAGGTCACTCCCTCCTCAGAAAGCTTTGTTTCACTCCCCATCAGTGAAATTTTCAAAACATTCTCAGTTTTATTTTCTTTAGGGCGACTGCTAATTTTCCCTTGCAAATTAGCCAATTCTGTTGCAGAGTGTCATATCATCACCATCACCTCCGCCTTTGGATAGCAGGGCTTGGGGTGAGGGGCAGTGGGGACTGGCTTTGCTGAGCCAAACCCCTCCTCCAGGGAGTGGAAGGAGGTGACATCAGTGACATCATGCCCAGAGAGTCCCACCACCTCATTTTTACCGATGGGCAGAGCTTATGGTTTGGGGAGGGGTTTGGCTTTGTTGCATCAAACTCCTCCGAAGAGCAGAGAGGGTTGAAATCACCGTCAGGGAGGCACAACTCCTCCCCTAGGCTGGATTCCCTGGTTCATCCTCCACAGCTTCCTCAATGGTGTTAATTTGCAACTCTAAAGCTCTTTGGTTCCCGCACAAAGTTGTTTAACAGGTTTCTCAGGTTTCGGGCTAGTTGCTTTTGGGCTGTTAATTCTCACTCCACCCTGAGGCGAGCTATTGTTTCAGCCTCCGAGGCAATTTGCAACTTCATCAGCTCTTTCCCTGGCCCTTCCAACACGTGCTGCTTCATCTTTCTGGACAGCCATTTAGGACTCCGAAGTGGAACCCTACCAGGCAGTTTTTTCCCTTCTTTTGACAAAGCTTCAATATATACCTGAGTTTTCTGCCAGATTTTCTCAGACCACATGTCTGCGTCTGATCAAGCTTCCATACCTGGGATTCAATGACCTTTTTGCCAGAAAACACAGGTTTTGACTGAAAACTACCTTCTCCTTATTCTGAGCTGGACATACGGAAGAAATACCAACCAGATATTCTCGTGAGGTCAAAAACAACACAAAACCCTTACTGGCAAACTTTAGAAAATCAGGCAACTTTGGCTAAAGGTTTACTACAATATCCAATCAACATAAAACATTTCTCACAATATTAACTTGGTCCATTCACCTTAGCAAACTTTAAATCCATTCGATGGTAAGTAACTCAAAATATTCTAACAAGAGGGAACGAGGAGAAAAAGAAAATATCTAGAAAAGCACATATACAGCTACCAACTCCTGGGTTCCAGCTGTGTTCAGACAGAAACTCCAAGAACAGGCAGGGTCCAGACAAGGTGATGGCCTCGTGTTGGACCCTAAATATCCCTTGGCCTTCACTGGCCCTTCCCCCAGGTGGGACTTGTGTTCATTTGGCCTTTCAGGAGCTGGGTTAGGGAGAGTGGAGCACTGCCTCTGGTGTGTCAGTGACTGGCAGCCCTGCCAGGCTGGGATACAGGCTTAAGGGAGGGTGGGGCACTTCACTGTCTCCCCAGAGCAAGGCCTGACTGTCCCCTAACCCCACACACATGCACCCCAAAATATCTTGAGACATCTTTCCAGTCTCTGGCACTGCCTCCCAGATCAGCCATTTACTCTGATTAGTTTCACCACGAGGAAAAGCACTGGAGGAATCAGAGGCTGAGCAGAGAATGTACCATTGGATCAGTGACCACTGCCAACATGGCAACAACAGGACTGACACAACCAGAGGCTGCTGCAGCCTCAGTTTGGGAAGAAATTTAAAATGTCCCTAACAGCAATCTTCCATATTCTTCCCTAGAGCTGGGTGAGGAGATTTTCTGTGAAATTGCTCAACACAGTTAATGTCAGGACCCCAGTAATAATTTTGGTTATCCTCACTAACATGTCCAGGAAGACAATCACTGTTTCAGAAGACTATCTAATGAATTACGTGGTTCTTACAGTAAGAACTGCTCAGCAAGAGCAGGATCTGTTCAGCCAAAGACCCAGAAGCCTGATGGCAAGCTGACACAGGTAGCATTAAAGTAGCCAATCACATCACTCTGAAAGCACTGATATGACACAAGGGGAACACACAAGCTTAGTGAAGACACTGGTGGATATCTTTTTATACAAAAATGTCATTGGTTTTCGCAAAACTGAAACAAACTTATGGAAGAGGGTGAGGATGACAATGGTGAGATGAAGACAGGAGGAAGTGCCCACCTAAAATCCACAGACAATGGATTTGCATGGGGAAAGGTTCTATCAATTCCCTCTTTCAGGAACAGGTGGGAACACTTTTGAAAACAGAAATATGAAGAGAACACAATGGGGTAGAAAGAAATATATGGAAGTTGAAGACAGATACCTAAAAAGGCTCAACAGGGCAAAGATCTCCTCTGGCACATACTCATGTCACGGAAGGCCATTCCTCAGCTGGCCCTCTGCATTCAGACTAGGTAGTGCCTAGTGCAAAATCCCAAATTGTAGGAGCACTATGGACAGACACTGCAGTGGCTGGCTGGAGTTAGCCTAAACCCTTAGTTCAGAGCAATTAAATCCATGGACCCACCCTAAACCCTGCAAATCCATCAGAATACTTCTGCACCAGCCTGCAAGGAGTTTACAGAGTCACAAGGTCCAGCAGGAGCTTTGGTTTCAGGCTCTGTACCACAGGAAAATGGGCAAACCAAAGCCAGACCTGAGCTGGCCTTGAAAGCCATCCAGTAACGACACGTGAACTCAGAACTCTGGCAGGCTCTGCTCAGCTGAGACAATTGTTTCCTCCAGAAGCTGCATCTACAGCCAGTCATGTAATTGTCAGGGGTACAGACACAGCTTGATGGCTACTTCTTGTCTGTATTTGAGAAGACCTAAAAAAGAGTCATTCGTATTATACCCACTTACCACTTTGTGTTTTGGCTTTGTCATAGAAACTTCCATTTCTTCGGCACCTGAATTATCACTGGGAGAGCCAGATCTGAAATCCATCATCTCTTCCTCTTGTTTCTTGAGGCTGTCTGCTACTGTTTGGATGGCTTTTGTCCATTCTTCCCTGGCAAAATATAGGCAAATGCATTAATTACTTGTGGCTTTAGATTACCATCTGCCATGGCAAGGTTCACCAAGGAATACAGAACCATGAATCAATGGAAGATATGATGAATTATGTGCATTTTCAAGCACTGTAAAAATGCATTTTTAAAATCTTTATTAATCATACTAGAAACAAGAGACAACTGAAGTCCTCCCAGTCTGGACATAATACAAGACTTTTTGGATAACAGAATTTCTAATGGGCAGTCTGTCAACAGCTCAGGATATGACCTGGTCATACAGAGATTTACATAACCAAAACAGACTTGCCAAAACCAAAAAGCAAAAGGCTTATATAAAGCAATTAAAGACAGTTTCTACATGTCTGTGGTGCACTGAAACACACATCCAACTCCTGGGACACTACAGCACCTCTTCAAACACGTATCCCGAATTTTAGTGGCTGCAGTGGCAAGAGATGTTCTTGGAAAAGGTCTTAAAGCTTAGGACACTTAGGTTATTCTTCTGTTGTAAAGATGATGACATTAGTACAGCAATTGCTGTGTAAACTTTAGCAGAATGTCAGCAAAAGCAGTGACATTTCATCTTAGGCACAGGTCTTGGTTACGATAAAGTTTCCACAGCTGTTTCAGCATCCAGTGCTCTAAGAGTGACCCCTTCAACTCCCATGGAGACAACTTCCACTCCAGTGTCCTTGGGGAGATTTCACACCTTTGGAGCTACTGAAGTGAAAGTTCTTGGCCTTCACTCGATTTCACTGCAAATTTGTTGAACATAAAGAATACAACTCATAAGGGCTTCCAGGGTCTCAGGACAGTCTTTAAAGACACACACAGGGGCTGAAGACACATCCATGGACTACCTGAACTTACATGTTTACTGTCTTTTGAATATGCAGGGAACAGGATGTGGTGATTTAGTTGGTGTTTCTAGGGACTGGTTAAATTCTACTCCTAAGGACATCTCAGGTAAAATATTTTGCTACTACAGCAGGATCAGCAGCAGCCAATGCTGAACAACTCTGTGCACAATCTGCAGTGCAGCTGTGCCATCCTTATCAATGTCCAATTTTTCACTGGTCACTATGAAGCTGTTTTTTTTCTCTTTAAATCATATCTGAACATGTGAGTTTACATTTATAATGGATGCAAGAGGCAGATCATTCCCTAGAGGAAGCAAAGTCCATGGGAAAAAGTATCCAACTTAAGATTTTAATAAAAATTGCACCACACAAGATCTTCCCTGCCTTGGTGCATTTTTATTTTGGATTTTGCCTGAATCGTGCACAAATCACCCAGCCCTGTATGGGGCAGCAAGGTAATGTCATACTCAGAACATTCTTCCTATATTCCCAGAACAGACTGCTCTATTCACCATCACTAACATGAAATAATTCCCTTATTTACTAATCATATTTTTACATTCAAAATTATTACAAAAAGAACTTCTTCTTCCACATTTTTCTCTCTCCAATTCTTTCAAAAAAGCGAACATTGGTTCTAAAGGCATACAGAAAGCTAAAGGCATATTGACCTTCGTATCTCTTTTGTTACTGACTTGGTTGAGATCTCAGCCCTCCTGAAGTGAGTATATTTGATTTCTGGGAGAACAGAATTTCACCCTCAGCTTTTATGTCTCAAGAGTACACAACAGAGGTGACTAACACTCTGAGCCCTGAAGTGTCACAAAGCTGACTTAATTGGCTAGGAGGGAACAAAACAAGACTGAAATACAATCTTCCCCCAAGTGGAAACTGCTATTCACTCCCTTTAGGGTCAGTGACCACAAAGTTCCTAAAAGAAACAAGGACAAGTTTCTTTTTCTTTGCTTTTAATTTGACTAAACCTTCTTCTGATCATTGTAACAGAATCAAAAACAATAATAAGGAGCATGCAAAGTGCATGCAAAGCCTATGAAAGAAATAAGTGAGTAATTCTTGGTAGAATTTACTGATCTTCAAAATAAACATGTGCTAGGATCATATCTAGAGAAGACCAGGCTTTTAAGATACCTTCTCCCTTAGGGCAATGATACTGGAACAATTTCAGTTCCGTTTCTGGAGAGCAAGTAAATATTTAAATACTCAGTTGCTGTATTATAGCTGTGCTGGAAAACTGTTCTCTCTGGAGGTAAGAGATCAATTCTCCAATGATGAGAGCACAGGATGTAGCTCTTAGCTTTGTTTCCTAAAAGATGAAACAGAAATCTGCACCTGCAGCAGATAACTATCACCTTTATTATCTAATTTGCATAAAACATTAGCAATCAGCAATGATACAACTAACTATTCTTTTAGCAATAGGGTGTCTAAATAGACTTTAAAAGGTCACTATTTTGGTACAACTCAACTCTGCCTGAATCTCTATTCCATTTGTGCTCATCCTTCCAGAAACTCCCAGGTCAGAAACCCTTCATTTTACATACCACAACATTTCCAGTGAGAAATGAACCTTACATTCCAGAAATAACTACCTGTGTGCTGGTACACACCTGCACCTGTCCGTTTTGGATACCCAACCTAGCAAGAATTCACTTCCAAACGCTGCTCAAAATCCACTCTCTGAAACCCTCCCTTCAGGGTTGCTTTTATACTGGAAAATGCACTAAAACTGAAGGCACTCAAAAATTCTTTGTCACTTTTCAGTCCAGACGTACATCATCTGATAAATAAGAGCTTCAGCAGAGGACTCACTATTAATGCTGAACACTTGCATCTGCTTTTGCAAGGAGTTTATGCATTAAATATGAATGAAACATACCGCTCCTCTGGAGTCTCCACATGAAATGTTCTTTCAATTACTGTGGTCCACTGGAGGCATCTAATGATAAATGTGTTTGGTTTAGGTCGCTCTGTCTTCATCAGCTGGCACTCTACCACAATCAAGGAAGAAAGAGTCATGGTACATAAGCAGGTTTAAATAATCATTTGTCTTTATTCTTATCTAGCAAACTGCTGCAATTAATCAGCCATAGAAATCTCTGTAAGTACTTCTTTAGGAGACTTGAGACAATTTACTGTGTTGATGAAACCAATAAATAGCTTGGGAGATAGCCATCTAAGTAGCTCTGAAATCAAATTCTGCTTTGAAAGGCTCCACATTGGGTCTGCCCATAGAGGTAAGCAGAAATGTGATGTGATAACACAGAAGCCATTCAGACTCAGGTCCCATACTCTAAAGGTCATGCAGAACACAGCACACGGCCAAACCCATTTGATAATGCAGCAATTACATACACTGAAACTAAAATCAAGCCCCCACATCCCCTCCTATTGACTTTGCCACGTAAAACCCTGTCTGTGGGTTCCAGGGAGCTGCAGGAAGAACATCTGATCATTTTGCAGCAACCTGATGAAGATCAGACTCAGCATTTCCAGTCCTCAAACACTAGAGGGAACATCAAACTGCAAAGGCACCCCCTGAGAAGACCCCGCTCCAAAAGCCTTCTGGAGAGCTGCAGCAGTTGGGTGTGAGCAGCTTCCAATCCCTGCCAGGCTCTAAGCACAGCCTAAAATGCTACAGAAGTACAGCTACATGCTAAGCCACCACTTCCTTCATAAAAATGTTCTGTCGAGACCTGAGTGTAATTTTTAAATTTTTTTTTTTTTTAATTTTTATATTTATAAATTTCAATTTAATTTTTTTTTTAATTTTTATATTTTACTTTAAGCTTCTTAGAATGTTACAAGTGTTCATCCTTCAAATTTGGGCCAGAAAATGCTCCTGGATAAAGGGTAAGCTTTAGCTCTACTAACAGAGATCTAAAAACAGAAGAAAATCAATGAAATAACAACAGGAGCCAAACCACCACATTTTTCGGATAAACGTTAATAGAAAAGCTAATTAATTAAACAGATCCTGCTAGAGGAAAGTCAAATTAAGAAACCAAGTCAGCAGGGGAAAAAAAAAATAATTGTAGGAGTTTTTTCCTTGCATTAAACTCTTTTCCTTGCAGTTAATGAAACCACAAGCTTGCTGTTATATGGTCTCCAGTTTCTAAATAGACTCCTAAATAAATAAAAAGGCACTATGAAGACAAGAAGAAATTTCTGTTTACTGCTAGAGCTATGAACTTCCTCCACCATCAGCAATGTGCAAGCGGAGGACAGAATCCACCAGAATAACAGTACACATTACTAAGGTTACACTGGTACCATTAGGTTAATTTCATTATTGTGTAAATTTAGAATGCTCAGTTTTAAGTTCAAGCTCTTAATTAGCACCAAGATAAAATATTTACTGCCAGTGTTTTTGAGCACTGTATTTTTGGCAATATATTTCATGCCTCATTTGCTGCTGGAATTATAAGCTTTTCAATTAGTAACTGCATTTTTCATTACAAGAAAATATAATTTTTCTTTAATAGCACGCTGAGGTTATGCTGCATCCTCCTAAAGCACTCCAATTAGATAAGACAAAGTGTATTAATGAGTCATGCAAAGGCTTTAGTGCAATAAATGGCACTCCTTCATTCAGATTAAACAACATCCACGCAGCAATGCAGCCACCTCTGTGAGAGCCAAACACAACTGCCCGGGTGAGCCTGGGGCTGATAAATTCCACCCCAAAGATCTCACTCCTACTTCCAGACCTCCCACCTCCTTAGCTGCCCTTCTTTTTTTGTTGTTTGTTTGTTCTGCCTCCCGTTTTTATCTGCTCAACATGATTAGAGGAAGGCTGGGGTTGTCCTCCAGGAGCCTGCACAATGCAGCCCTCAGACACCGAATGTGGCTGCAGACTCAAAGAACAACATCAGGCTATTTCCTAACCCAGAGCTGTTCTCCCATACTTATCCCAAAGTACACCATCATAAAGAAATTAACACAGAGGTTTTGCTTAGATTTTAAAAACACTTTCGATTCATATTCTGAAGTAGCTGTATAGATATTTAAACTAGCCATGAACTCTAGAGTTAACCATTTAATTTCAGCATGATAAACCACACAAGGTTTTTCCTGTTATAGACAGGGACCAATTACATGTCACTCTTCCCCTAAATCAGCACTGTCCATTGATATTTGTTAAGCTTGCTGATCCAGCAATCTTTAAGGCATACAGCAAGATGAATAATAGAGATTTGTCAGTTAATAACCACTATAATTCAGGAATGTCACCCAGAATTGTTTTGTTTAGTGAACAATATGCTATCTAATTACCCTGCTCAATCATAACAGCACATATCAAGAAATACAGAAGGCTTTCCTTTACCAAAGTGCTATACCATATAGGTTGTAAAAAGTTTGAAACTACCACTTATTTCTCACCATGTATGATAATCACACGGATTTTATCAATGAAACAAATGAACAGTATTTTTTTTCTTACTTTTAAACCCAACTGTGTGTTCTTCACTCCAGCTGAAGTTAGAGAAGCACCAAATCCACCTTCTTTAATCATTAATATACTACTGCAATGTGCAGCACTTCAGCACAGACAGAGATGGTGTGTAGTATTAGGTCTGATTTATGGCATGTTTGGGGATTCTGCTATAAAAACATTCAATTTCAAATAGGGGCTGAGGGTTATCCACTTTGAAGGAAGTTTTTCCTGTGAAACAGGCCAACATAAGTATTCCCAATTTGCAACAGAGTAGGTACTATAAACAGCAGCCTGTTGAAAATTATTTAAATTTCTCTAAAGAACCTCTTGATTCTTTCCCAGCTTGGTCTTTTAAAGTAAGTAGGACAGAGAAATTGTTCCTAACAGGAATAGACACCAAGGCATTCAAATGTAAATTACCATTTTGTATTTGAAAGACACTTAGTATTATCCCAGTGACTTTCTAAAATGTCACAATATTTGCTTTCCCAGCACTTAAGCTAAAAGGCAGATTACTTTCGATGAAAGTGTCAAACTCTGCTCCCTATATAATGACATCACACTTAAAACAATAATGTCAAGGAAGAATCCTTCCTATTCCTACTTTGGTTTCTTTAAGGAAGGGTATGGAGAAACAGAAAAAAGAAAACAGAAAAAAAAAAAAAGGAAAAAGGTAAATAAGGAAAATAGAATGATGAAGAAATAAAACTTTTGGAAGACAAACACAAATATTACGTTGAAGTGTCTGTTTTCTGCTAACAAAACTGTATAGATTCAACTCTGAACTGTTCAGCATGGCAAAGGTGAGGGGCCAGGAGCACCAAGTTACACACCTGCACAAAGGTGGCTCTGAGTAGCAGCACACAAAAATATCAAAAAATCCAACCACTAATCTGGCCATCCTGTGCCCTCTGAAGACTGCTTGACTGCAGACACACAGTCCTGTCCCAAAAGGAGCTCTCGTATTGTTGAGCAATTATGTTTTCAGCAGTACAACAAAACCACCACAGTCCATCTTCCTTTTTGACAGCCGGGAGCAATAATCCCTTTCTAACAGGAACAGCCTCTCTCTCCATGTGGTTTTTCACAATATACTGCTTTTCTCAGCTATATGGTTTTAAAGGCTTATAACCTAATAGGGAGACATACATGATAATCCGAGATTACAATTGGTATGAAGGCTACTTATCTCACAGATTTACAACTCAGCCTCTACTGGTTATTCATCTGCTGGAGCTCTGGAGCAGAACTTTTAGGTACAGACTTTTTTATTCCTTCTACCTTATTAGTAGAAAAGTACAGAACAAAAAACACAAATAAGATTCAAACACTCAGGCACCACGCTTCACGAGTGTTACTTTGGGTTCTTCTGTATTTGTTTTTTGTCTGTTGTCATTTTTTTTTTTAAAGAATCAATCTGTAATTCCAGAGAAAATAAACTCCTTAAACACAGCAAACATCAGTATATGGTTATTTTAAAAGGAAAATTAGGTGGAGAAAAGGTTATTTTAAATAAATAGTACACCTCTCTTTAGCTAGAGGGGCTTTGAAACAAGTTTTCAAAAATTAAAACCCTCACAGACCAAAAGGAAAAAGCACTGTGGGAGAAAGAAAGGACTGTCAAGCACATGGAAATCACACACTATTTATTGCTTATACTTTCTTCATACCCATTAAAGGAAAAGACAGGTGACCATTAGTTGTTATCTTCTGTCATAGCTTTCTCATTAATTATTTCCCACTTCTCATGTGCTGACAAAATCACTCAATATGAATTTTACACTACAAGTAAATAAAATTCCCCCTTTAAAAAAAAACCTCCTTTTACTTGCAAAGACAAAAAAGCCTACATTTTTTGTACAGCAGAAGAGGGTAAAGATTTTAATCAGAAACATGGGACCACTTCCAAAGAACAGACTGACAGAGACAGCCTGCCATCTCATTAAAAAAAAAAAAGTCTGGTTCACTAATTAACAAAAAAGTCAGGGCTATCATGGTCTCTTGGACGAAAAGAAAACAGAAAGATTAATTTTTATTAAATATTTAATATTGATATTTAAATTAATTCATTCTTTTACAAAATAATTTCACTGGCAGGAGGCTTCTGCAGGCCTGTGCTCTGGCCTGAGCCTTCCTCCAGAGACAGCTCAAATTCATTCACACTAACACAACACGTTAACCCTGAATGAAAGGATCAGGCAAGCAGGTTCAAAGGGAAAGCCTGTGGTGCAAAGTACATCCAAAGCGATCCCTGAGATGGGCTCAGCTGCTTAGAGCCTGGTGCTAATAACACCAAGTTTGTGGGTTCAATCCCCATATGGGCCATTTACATGAAGAGTTGGACTCGATGATCCTGTGGGTCCCATCCAACTGAGAATATTCTGTCAATCTGTGGAAGCGTGGAGGGCACCCAGAAGGGACAGAAGTGCTGGCAGCACTGCCTGCTACTGCCTACATGAGAAATCAAATCCTGGTGGGGAAACAGCTGCTTTCTGTGGGCCCAAATCCACAATAATGACTTCTAGCAAGGAGGCCCCACTCCAATCCTCAAGGCCTCCCTGAGATGCCACCAGGCAAGAGCCACTGCCAGGAACATCCTCCCACCCACCACCAGCCCACAGTGCCTCTTACAGGCAACTCTCACAACTCATCTATCTACAGGCACGTGCTGTGTCTTCTTTGACAAAGCTCCAATGCCATGGTAACAAACCTGTTTATCTAGAAATGCTGAGACTGATGGGCTCAACCTGCCAAAAAAGCACCATGTTGCTGCTAAGAAAACTGACTTAAGTTAACCCATTTTAAAGGCAACTTAGACAAAGGAAAGGTGATGGACACATTTTTACTCCTTAGTACTGAGCTGCCCAAGTAATGCAGTTAGCAGCAGCAAGGGGATGGAAGTGCCCTCCAGAAAGTGCATTTGTTAAAAGCCTCTGGCTATAGACCAAGTACTGAATTAATTTATAAATTAATGGCTTTCTTCTGCTTTGCTTTACCTTCTTGATCTGTAAGAAGATATCAATCTAAAGAGGAAAGTACCGTGTCATTACTGAAATGAAAATACTCTGAGAATTCTCCCTCTCAAACGACACAAAAAGCCCCAAAGCACTCTTGGAATCCTGTACAGAGGCACCAGGAAACAGCATGTCCATTATGTATTCCCTCATCACTCACTACAGGTATGTGCTGCTACTGGAGGAAAAACAATGAACATTTCCATTAATTCCTACTGCTGCCCAGCCCTCTTCCAGGAGCAGGGTGTTTCAAAATAAATACCTGCTTAATGATCAGCTACAAAGATGAATCCCCTGTATTTTGAGCTACCTTGTAATGAAGAGGGAAAGCCCCTACCCTTCTCTCTGCAGAGCTTTGCTTCCAGTAGTCACCAGGAACATGGAACAGATCATTGTTAATAATGCCACAATGATCTATTTTTAAGTGGTGGAACGAGACACAGGCAGATCACGAGACAGGAAAGATTAAGAACAGGAGAAAATAAAAGCTGGAAGTATACAGTGAAAAGTTAAAAACATGAGCAAGAAAAGGAAATTATCTTCAGAGTCTTCTATCACATCCTGTGCTGCAGCACCTGAGCAAAGTCGGAAATGTTTGCATAATACAGAGTGCAGAGGTTAGGAGATGTTATTATTTCCAAACCTTTTTGTTGGCTTTGATAGAAGAACTATGGGTTTGTGTTCAAAATTAAGAAAATCCAAGGGTGCTTCGTTAAAATGTGCTCATTCTGCATTCTCTTATGCTAACAATTAAATAACTCTGACCAATGTCAATGCCACTGGAATCCAGATCTGGTGGCAGTAATGCTTCTGCTGTACCTAACCTGCCAAGTACATGCACCTGGGTGAATTCTCCCTTTAAAGCAATTTGCTGACTAACATACATACAAAATATTAACAAATAAACCTGTTTTATTCAATAACCAGAAATGCTAAATTACTAGAAAACTTAAAAAAAACCAAGAAAAATAAGCAGAGCATCAAACCTCCACATTACAGTCATTCCTGAGAAACACAGTGGGATTTATCAGCTCAAATAAACACACTTTGTGTTTAGACAGTGCTCTGGGCAGATCTGAATGTTACTGATGCAGCTTCCCAGCTATGTTACAAGAAGACATCAGCCCCAAAGTGGACAAGGAAGCAGCTAGAAACACTTACGAGCTACTGAGAAGTTATTTAAAGGTGATTCCCGCTGGTCCACATCCTGTGGCCGCTCCTTGTAGCCAATGAAGGTGCCATCATTCTTCAACAGAAAATACCGCGGCCTCCATGTTTTGATGTATTCTCCTGGAAAGAGAGGATGGGCAAAGGGAAACAACATCAGAAAACACCCCAAAATACTGACACACCAATAATTTCTGTTAATATTGGAACTGTATGTCATCCTGACAGCAGCAGTTGTAAGAACATTCAGTTCAGTCTGATACAAACAGTGGAAAAACACAGGCACTGAGTCACATACTGATAGCGATGTTAGCCATAAAAATGGGACTTCACAAAAGGTAAACAGCTATATTTTGTTCTTCCATCTACTTTGATTTCCATTCAAATTCTGCAACATCTGCCTTAAATGCATTTTAAATTTAAAAAAAAATCAGAGCAGATGTCCTATGTATTATTTTTGCTATTGTCATTTTTCATACTGACAAGTGGAGAAATTTTTTTCATTTACATTTTGCAGCGCAAGTATTTTAAACAAGAATGGGTAATTTACTAATTAGTCAACTGCTTTATCAAACCAACAGTCACTTTCAGACCATAAGAAGATAATTCTCTGCTTATGTTACATAACATCACTCACTTCTCTCACAACATCTCAAGCATGAAACACAAGATGATATATCACAATATGAAGGAGAAAACACTGGATGATGTATAGCCACCACAAAGTCGAAAACAAACATCTATTCTGAAAGATATGTCACCTTTCTTTGTCTGAGGAAACACCCATTGCTCACACCATGCTACTGCTCATCAGCTCATCTGATGCTACTGCTCACCTGCACAGGTGACACTTGCATGACTGCATTACAGCCACATTCAAAATGTGAATAGCAGCAAAATAAGAAGAAAATAGTTAATCAAAACCTCAGTTATTTACTAGATTTATTAAGGTAATAATAAATCTTCAGGGAAGGAAGCAGAAATCCCTTTGATGGCTCTTCTGGACGACTCTCAGTATGCCTGAGTTTTCTGCTCATTTACCAGATCATTGTTTTCTGAGGCAGTCTCAAGAATCTCAAATAGCTTTTCACGGTGTCAAGCTGCCCCTCTAGGTCCTAAAAAGGTCCTGTTTCTACTCAGCTGAATCACAAAAATCTCATTCAAGGTGTAATTCTAAACACAGTACTGGCCACACTTTTCCAATTCTGCTCACCCCAAAAACTGATTTAAAAATTTTAAAAGCAAGTGGTCAACTACAAAGCACCCACAGCCACACATCAACCATGCCCTCCTCCCTTCTGTATGGTTTCTCACTGTTTAACTCTGTTTAACACTGAGAAGATGACAGAGCACACTCAGAGCTGAACTGCCACAGCAGGACCACACCTGTGCACCCTGTAATGCTGCCCTGCAGTGGCTGGTGCTCAGTGCCCACAGGTGCACCTGCTGGCAAGCTCTTCAAACAACCAAAATAGATGAGAGAAGGCTCACCAGATTCATTGGCTCTGGCAACCTTCTGCTGCTCTGCTGTTCTCCAAGGCTCTTTTCATGCTTTCCCATTGCTCAGCTTTCCTCTGCTGGTGATTTCTCTCCCAGCAAAGTGCACCCTGCCCCAGGAACTCTCTTGCAGCTGCTTTGTCTCCTTCCTGTCCCCACAGAGCTCCTCTCCGTCTGTGGTGCAGTTTCAACCTGCTCTGGGCAGCAGCTGTGTCACTTCTCTGCTCACACTCATCCTTCTCCCTCCTGCACACAGAAGCAGAAGCAACCCCGACGCCCACACAACACAGACAGGGGTGTGCACAGCCCCCACCAGCTGCTTTCACCTCCTTAGTCCTCACTGGGATTTCAATTTCCTCATCTAAAACAAAAAACTAAGAGCTACTGAGCTGTTAGGGAGAGTCACTCAGAGCCACCTTTGCAGTGGCCATGTCTGCAGAAAACATCCATGTGAACTAATGAAACAGGTATGGGGCAAGAAAGAGGAGAGGAAAAGGAGCACAAACCTTCTCATTGTTTCTTTTAGAGATGGCTGTTACTGCCCTAAGTGTTACACCAGCCTGTAAGGTGCTTACGAAAGTGTCATCATCGCTCCAGGAATTTCAGAACTCACCTGTCATGGTTTAACATTTATAGGCAAGGAGGTAAATGTAGAAGGTTTTGTTGTCATCATCTTTTTAATTCTGACCTTAATTAAATGCCAAAAACTTTCTGGGATCAGCAGGAGATTATGAAGCCTTTCACATTTAAATTATCAGTCCAGCTCGGCCCAGATCAGCGAGATTACTCCAATCTCATTACTGTTACACCACAGATGTGACTACAGGGGCGAGAAGACACTGGCATGCTCAGGCCAGCTCCTGACTAGAGGCTTGCCAGGTAAGCAGGCTGGGAAGGTGGCTGCCCAGACCATCAGGGTTTTGGAACGGGCTGTTACATACCTGACTCCTTGGCATTTTCTTCTCTTTCATAAAGCACACCCAGGAGACCTAACGACCACCAACACCTCTTACCAAATCTGCACTTAGGACTAAACCCAGATTGGATGGGACAAATAATATCTGAACAGGGACAAGATTGAGAATTTTTACTTCCCTTACTCCCTCATTTATGCTACACATCCTCCCCACTGGCATTTACAGAGGGGACAATAATTTTTTGCAGATTCTGAAATTATTATCTGGTTATATGCAGCAAAGTACACATAATTTTAAACAGAATAACACTGTACTGTCACAGGAGACTTTCTCTAAGATTAGATGCTTATGTTTGGCTCTCATACTTCCTTACAGCTTTATCCCACCGATCTGCTTCTCTGTTAGAAACACATCCTCTAACAGGATTAATCACACAGTCTTTAAAATTGTGCATTCCATACATATATAGCATCCTCCTCCACACTCACTGCTTCTGTGTGAAAAATCAAGGATTTCATTACCACCAGCCTTTCTGCAGGGATCATTCTACTTGGATCTTCCTTTAAGCTCTGCTTTAGCTGGTTAAGGTTCCTGATCCACCTTTTTAATTTGCAAATAAGTAACATGGTTTTATTTAAATTTTTTTCCACATGTCTGGAGCTTAATGAATACTGTAATATGGCAATCCAACATATTATTGATTATTGTTCTTGCCAAGAAGAGTATGAGGCACAGTGCAGCATCTGTGGTACAAGTTTTTATTATATAACACACTGAGGTTGTACTTCTGCATCCTGCAAAAAAGTGGCAAGACACTGCCTGGTGTGTGACTTCCCAAGGAAATGATCTCCAAGTATAATTTTACATTCAAGCCTGAGCAAGCCATCATTCCTCTGCAGAAGCTCGGAAACACAGACTCACCAACAGTCATCAAAAAGATGTACAAAGTGCATATTCTTAAGAAACAAGCTTATAGTTTTATGATTAGCTAAAAGACTATAAATGGCCTACAGCCCACGAGGACCACATCAAAAGGTGACAGCAAATCTGAGTACTGGAGGCAGAAAAGGAGTTTGTCAATACAGACAAAAAAATAATTATGTGGAACTGCTGGGACAAAGCTGTCTGAAAAACATCAACACCTTTTCCTTCCTCCAATATACTCAGCAAGCTGTCATGCCTCAAGAGTGAACTGAGCTGTTTCAATTTTTGCCCTGTATTCTTTGTTCCTGTTGCGGTTTTGTTTTTAAGAATCACAAGAAGAAGTTACTTGAAGTCACTAATATTAGCAGTTATGTAGTCACACTAGAAAGAATCATACCGAGTACAGTAAATGCAAGCATGTGTGGCAAATTCTATCAGACAACACTAAAAAAAAAATAATGATCCACCATGGAAAAGTGAACAATTTACAAAGCAAAACATTTTTTCCTCTGTGATTCATTGCTTGTGTAATGCCCTGGCAGAGCCTTCTTTGTTTTCAGTAACAGAATGCTAACACTGCAGAGACAGGAAAGCAAAAGCATGGGTTATAAATCCTACATATAAAATCCTGGAACCAAACAGACTCCTCTGTAGCTTGCTGGCTTTATTATTTAAAATCTTTATGTATCATTCTGTTTACTCCGAGCAATTTCCAAATTGCAAAGATTCCCAAACTGTATATATCTGGAAACATACACAAAGATTGTTATAGACTGATTTCCCTTTATTGCCTTGTGCCTGCCCCCACACACTGCACATTAAAATACTTAACACACACTCAGAATGTAAATCCATCTCATGCCAGAAAAGCTTTTTCACGGTAACACATACTGCAAAGCACTCTTATGCCTGAATATTTCAGAAAAAGTTAAACACAAAACTCCTTTGGCTCATGAAAAGTTAATTCTACTGAGGATTTACAATAATGCAGGGTTAGATTATTTTCCTCTCCTCCCCACAACAGTATCTCACCGAATCTGGAGCTGTCTACCACTGATAGAGTGTCTAACATCAGAAACAGCTGCCACTCCCTGGGAAGCTCACGGGGTAAGTGGAGAATAATGAGCAGCAAGCACCAGCAGAACAAAAGAAAATCCATCTTTATTTACCAACTGCTGCATGCTTGTTGCTGCATCAAGCTCATTCAAAGCCAACACCACACCCTTTAATTCAGAACAGACTATATTTAAGAAGCCTCTGCTTTTGTTTTAATCAACTCATACATACCGATGGTTTGAAAAAAAAAAAATCATTAGGTTAACCAAGTCAGCATCCAATGCTACCCTTGATATTTACAAAAGCACCAGAGCGACTATTAACTTTCTTATGGCCCAAAGTAACCAAGTAACAAGCCCAGGGGCACTGACTGAAAACAAAGTCTCAGTTATACGAAATGCAGTCAGGTGGCTACCACAAATCTACCAATAAATAATGCATTAAACTTTCTGCTCTGAGCATCAGAAGTAGCACCTTTAATTGCATTTAAGCGTAACACTCAAAAAATTAGAGCTTTTGAGTTATGCAAGCCTTTTGTACATTCCCACACGCTCTGATGATGTAGGGCACTCCCTGCTTGTACAGCCCCAGTTCCTGTCCGAGGGAACATGAAAGTTATGCCAATCGAAACGCTAATGTGCCACCCATCAAAGCACAGTGACTCATTTCTGAGCCTCAATGGCCATGAGAAGTGGTCTGCATCCTGTCGGCCTAATAAGGGCTCCGAAA